AATGTGTTTGCTGGCTAAGGCCGCACAAGTTAATTTTTATCCTAGTAAAAAATAATAAACACTGCATTAGCAACTAAATGTTTATCAGTTTGCAGTTCATTTCCAGCCAGATCATTTCGCTCCTGCATGTTTTTACTGCTAGCTGATGCACTGGAGTGCTTTTCCTCAAACCATATGTGGCTATTTAAGTCTTAGCCTCTGTAGCATTTATATGGTGCTTTTCACTTTAATTGGATAATATTATTTGGCTACTTCAGCCATGGCCTTCAAACATTGCATTTTAATGATAAAGAAACTGCAGTAAAGAAAGATTAAATGAGTTGCTGGGGAATCATCCTGCACTTCAGGGGTGAGGCTAAGCAAGGAGCCACAAGTTTATATGCAGCACAGACCTGTATGGGCTGGACCACGTGGCTGAGCAGGGCCGAGTTTGTTGTGTTTCTTTTCCTCATCTTATGGGAAGATAATATTAGAGGAAGTGGCAGAGAAGAACTATCTAATGGAGTTAGCAACCCTGAATGGAAAAAAGAAGCGTGGATGCACATAAGCAATGGTAGCATGTTGAGAGTGTGATGGAAACTCAAGTACCTTCAGCTGCCCTACAGCTAAGCCCTTCTGCAAATGCTTTGGCTATTTTTGTTATCTTAGCGGCATTAGAGCCACCATTGGGTAGTGTCATCCACGGTTTATTACTAGACTTTCATAGCCAGAAACAGTGATTTGGCTAAGACAAAATGAAGCGATGGCTGTCCTGGGATCGTGCAGATGATAAACCCTCCCCGTCTCCCGGTATGAGTAGAAACCTTGATATTGCCGCTTGGTTTAGGGCAGATCTAAAGCTGCTACTTTGGGGAAGACGAGAGTAAAAGAGTCTTCAGGGCAGAAGGCAGAATAAGTCGGATCTACGTTCCAACTTTATTAGCTCTGTGGCAAAATAACTCTTTCTTGAAGTCTAAGTTTTTCTCCCTTGAAAAAGTGAGGGGATAGTAGGATGTCCCTCACAGGGCAGGTATGCACATCAGGGACATATATACTCAGGGCCTGGCATGGTGCCTGGCACCTGGTAGACACTGAAGAAGCACTGTTGCCAGGAAGAGTAGGCTTGGTGGATGCGGGCAGGTGATGGGTTGAAGATACCATGTATGCAAGCCCAAATATGAGGCAATGCCCCATTTCCCAATGGGTAGGTTACACACATTTTGTGTCCTTTTTTTTTTTGCCATCATATATATATATATATATATATATATATATATATTTTTTTTTTTTTTCTTTCAGACGGCGTCTCGCTCTGTCACCTAGGCTGGAGTGCAGTGGTGCGATCTCGGCTCACTGCAACCTCCACCTTTTTGGTTCAAGCAATTCTCCCTGCCTCAGCCTCCTGAGTAACTGGGATTACATCATGCCTGGCTAATTTTTCTATTTTTTAGTTGAGACAGAGTTTCGCTGTGTTGGCCAGGCTGGTCTTGAACTCCTGACCTCAGGTGATCTCCCCACCTTGGCCTCCCAAAGAGCTGGGATTATAGGTGTGAGCCACCACGCCCGGCTTGAATTTTTTTTTTTTTTCTTTGAGATGGCGTCTCACTCTGTTGCCCAGGCTGGAGTGCAGTGGTGTGATCTTGGCTCAGTGCAATCTCTGCCTCGCAGGTTCAAGCAATTCTCCTGCCTCAGCCTCCCGAGTAACTGGAATTACAGGCGTGTGGCACCATGCCTGGCTAATTTTTGTATTTTTAGTAGAGACAAAGTTTCACATGTTGGCCAGGCTGGTCTTGAACTCTTGACCTCGTGATCTGCCCACCTCAGCCTCCCTAAGTGCTGGGATTACAGACGTGAGCCACCATGCCCGGTGGCTTGAATATATACTTTTAATGATGCAAATGACATAGTTACATTTCTAGTTAAGAATTTAATTTATTGACTTAGTTACTTGTTTGTTTATTTATTTATTTATTTGTTTGAGACAGAATCTTGCTCTGTCACTGAAGCTGGAGTGCAGTGGTGCGATCTTGGCTCGTTGCAACCTCCATTTCCGGGTTCAAGCGATTCTCCTGCCTCAGCGCTGGGACTACAGGCACGTGCCACCATGCCTGACTAATTTTTGTATTTTTAGTAGAGACAGGTCACCATATTGGCCAGGCTGGTCTGGAACTCCTGACCTCAAGTGATTTGCCTTGCGTGGGTATCCCAAAGTGCTGGGATTACAGGAGTGAGCCACCACGGCTGGCCAGTTATATTTAGAATCACATGCATAAATATTCTTATTTAGGAATCTTGCCTTTTTCCTTTTTGTTACTCATTATTCAGACTCTTTGTTATCAGCTGTCTTTGTCATCACTTGTGCTCCCCATCTTTTTTTTTTTTTTTTTGAAACAGAGTTTCGCTCTGTTGCCCTGGCTGGAGTGCAGTGGCACAACCTCGGCTCACTACAACTTCTGCCTCCCAGGTTCAAGTGATTCTCCTGCCTCAGCCTCCCAAGTAGCTGGGATTACGGGCATGCGCCACCACACCCAGCTTATTTTTGTATTTTTAGTGGAGACAGGGTTTCACCAGGTTGGCCAGGCTGAGTCTTCAGCTCCTGATCTCAGGCGATCTGCCTGCCACGGTCTCCTAAAGTGCTGGAATTACAGGTGTGAGCCACCATGCCCGGCCTTGTGTCCCTTTTTGAATGATCTGACTCAGTCTTCCAGAACACTTCATCTTGCTTCTGTCCAACTGCCTTTGAGATTTAGGACTTTTTGAGGCTGTATGCTGTGCTCACTGGAAATGTTATCTCAAGCCTTCATGGCCATGTGCTATTTGCCATCTCCACAAAACCGACTTCTTTTATTGCTTTTAAAAGGGATCTTCATGGGTCTATGCAAGGAAATGTTCATGCATTTTAGAGATGCATACTAAAGTAGGAAGGAGTGAAATGGTATGAGGCCTGCAATGCTCTTTAAAAGATTTTGGCAAAGAGAAAAAAAAGTAAAACACAATAAATGAAGCAAATGTCAAAAAATCTGGGTATTGTGCACATGTACCCTAGAACTTAAAGTATAATAATAATAATAAAAAAAGATAAAAAACAAAAAAACAAACAAAAAGAACATTCAATGATATTGCCTGTAGTCTACCCTTTCTTAAAAAAAAAAAAATCTGGGTAATTGTTAATCTCCATAATTATATGGAGAGTCACTGTGCTATATGCTCTTTTTGTCATAATAAAATTTTGAAATATAAAAATAAAAATTGTCACGATAAAATTTAAAATGGGCCGGGCCTGGTGACTCACGCCTGTAATCCCAGCACTTTGGGAGGCTGAGGCAGGTGGATCACTTGAGGTCAGGAGTTCGAGACCATCCTGGCCAACATGGTGAAACCCTGTCTCTACTGAAAATACAAACATTAGCCACTTGTGGTGGTAGGCGCGTGTAATCCCAGCTACTCGAGAGGCTGAGGCAGGAGAATTGCTTGAAACCAGGAGATGATGGAGGTTGCAGTGAGCTGAGGTTGTGCCACTGCACTCCAGCCTAGACGACAAAGAAAGACCCTGTCTCAAAAAAGAAAAAAAAAAGTTTAAAATGGGCTTTAAAAGTCTGGCTTACAGTCTGGGTGTAGTGTCTCACACCTGTAATCCCATCTCTTTGCGAGGCTGAAGTGGGCAGATTGCTTGAGTACAGGAGTTCGAGACCAGCCTGGGCAACATGGTGAGACCCTGTCTCTTTAAAAAAAAAAAAAAAAGAAAAGGACTTGCTTACAATATCTCTCATACTTGTAATTGTAGTTGGAGGTCATACCTTCAAGAATAACTACAAAAGCTTTTATTTTTTTTTGTAATAAAAAACCAAATCAACAAAAACTATTCTTCCAGACAACCTCTATAAGCATTCCAAACTAAAATTGGTGAGATTCCCTTCAGAATATTTTGTTGTTCCAAATAAAGAAATTCTGTAATATAAAGAGCTTTTTATAGACACAAGTATAAGGTGATGCCTTATGCTTGCCCATCCATCCTATTTTTCTCCATGCTTTGCTGATCTGAGTAGACAAGGTTGGTAATGACCCCAAATGGAACACTTCTCTAAGTGATGGGAGGATCTCATGCGGTGTCCTTCATCAGAAGTACCCATTACCTAGTGCCCTTGTTGGCACTGGAGCTGGAAGGCTCAGGATAGCAGGGAACAGGCAGCCCACAGTTCTGGAAGCAGGCCTGGTGGCAAGGGCCTGGGTATGGAGTGTCAGTGGTGGCAGAAGAGGGGAGAGTACTGTTTTCTTCATTCGTTAATGCCTCTCCCCTGGAGGGAGGGCAAGACCCATGGTCTACACAGCCAAAGTGAGAGGGTGGTTGAGCAATTCTCCAGCAAACTCAGGCAAGGTCAGGCAAGCATATTTAGGCCTAGGAGTCCTGGTTACCACAGCCTAAAGTGATAGGAACAGAAAGTGAAAGGAACAGAAAACCAGTCCGTATTTGTTTTATGTGAATTTTGTAGCAATTGCTTTCCCAAAGGAGGAAAGAAAACGTTATTCTTTTTAAAACACGGTTGAAGAAGAGGATGCTTTTCCTATGGACATGGTAGGCCATTTACCGACGAGTTATTATGATAAAAAATACCTACTGAGCCTGTGTGGGAAGCCTGGAATTCTTTTACTTTACTGTATTTTCCTCTAAGGATATATTGCGTTATTCCACAACAGGCTGGTCACAATCTTTGAGAGATTTACTTCTGAGACTTTTTGGTGTGGCTTCATTCACACTTCACATTTCATAAGAGAGACAATTTTGACTACTTTGAAAGAACCCTCCCTCAAACATAAACATCACAGCATCCTGACTTTAGAGTGTCTATCTCAACATTTCAGTGCTAGAAGGTTTTTTGGAATGCAGACAAATAAGATAAACAAAATCCCAGTGTGCTTAAACTGAGAGCAAGTTCTTTTTTGGAAGATGTGTGTGTGTGTCTGTGTTTTGATGAGCTAAGTGTTGATTGTAACCCAAAAAGAAGGAAAAGTGTGAGATTAGATAAGTGTCTGCTAGATTCATTATTGCCATGTGCATTCTGTGAAATGGGCTTAGAGGTCACTGGTTGTAGCTGCAGGATAAAGTTCAGTTGTTTATTCTCAGTCTGATTGGGCCACCATTGAAAACAGAGTGTGAACTACTGTCCAGAAGCCCTCTGTGAACTTCAGGTCTGCCTTAGGAGGGACGCTTCCAGCGAGCGAGCACGTGATGAAGTGATGAAGTCTGCAGGCATTGCTTGGGCAACGCCAAGTGGCCACTGGCCAGGGTAGAAGTTAAACCAGGAGATGGCTGTCAAATGCAGTTGTTAGGTTTGGCACATCTTTCTCAAACTGCTGAGCTGAGCAGGAAAGAGAGACGTTTGTTTGTGGATTTATCTCATCTATAAGACACTCTGATAGATGAACTCTGTATCAGTTCTACGTAGAACTCTGCATCAGTTCTATAAGGCACTCTTTAATCTGAATCTTTCTATTTGCTCAAGAGAAAAACAAGTCTGACTTGCATCCCATTGAAGATTTAGATTGGACAGTTTACATCTTTCACCTGCGCCCCCGTAGCGTCCTCTACTGATGCTGTCCTACATTGATTTTTCCAGCAACCTGGGAAGTAACCTCATAGGTGGTTTGGGATGTCTTTTGGCTGTGCTTAAAAATTTCCGACAGATTTGCTGCACATCTTAGGATAAATATGTTTCCTGTGAATTGTGATGATTTCTTACACTACATTTGCAAGCATGTGTATGCATCTGCAGGAAACATAGCCTGGCTCTGTGAAGGAATACTGCTGCGACCGCAAAACTGTTTCTGTGGAATTTTCTCCGGTGTGGTCATCCTGCCTTCAGGTCAGTGAATAGATGGTGTTTGAACAGTGTCTGGCACAGATACTTTAACCTTAAAGCTTAATGTATAACTGGTATTTTTTCCCCTTCTGTGTCAGCAATTGGCAACGGGACACTGTAAATAAGGATTCTGGTTTGTAAATGGACGTCTGTTCCTCCAGGGGAGGGGAAGGCTGGAGTAAGCAGTTTTGAAATTCATGCTGCAAGTGATAAGATAATTTGAGTAACCTGTAAGACCTGTGGATTCACAGGTTTCAAAAACAGGAAAGTCTCTTGTTTGAAAACCCTCTAAAGCAACATGTGGGCTTAGAAAAGAAGCCGGCTTGTGGTTTGGTGATTGTACTTCCTTATTGATATAATGGCCGCTGATGCAAGGCCTCCTGGGATTGCAGCGTGGTGACCGCAGGCCTGACGGTTATCCTGACTGGGTTCTGAAACAGCCCGGGGCTTTCAGCACAGATGAGAAGTCTAAAAATTTCCCTTTTCATTTCCTCTCTTGTGTGACTTTGTCATTTTTTTAAAAACTGGTCACAGAAAAGGGAATTTTGCCCATGCTTTTAAGGAGTTTATCTCGACTGAGTAGCTTCCCCACCACTCCTCTAAAATCCCTCCCCAAAAACCCCAAGTTAAAAAAAAAAGATCTATTCTTGTAGATTTTTTTTGTGTGGGCCTATGTTTCATTCATCTGCTTTTAGGCTGGATTTATAACAAGCAGATCTTTTAAAATGGTATGATTTTAAAATAAAATTTAAAAAACACGCTGAGATCTTTCCATAACTTTGGCTTCTGGGAGTTGAAAGCACAGGTACGTGCTACATCTTCTGGAAACCTAACCCTCGCACGCCAAGTGGGAGGCTCTTTTGGTCAAATACTCCCAGGACTTATGCTAGAGTTCTGAAATAAGTGAAAGCAGATGCCGTTCCTGTGCGACACAGCTAACTGACCGCAGCCCAGAAAGTTCAGTTGGCTAGCTGTGTGGGGGCTGTCTTAAGCCCTGAAAACATTCTGCATCAGAACTCAGCCTCATAAAGGGGTTCCTGCTCTCCTGTCTGTCCTGGAGGTAGTCATGCATGACAGCTTGTGGGCTGATCGTGCATTTAGGCAGCTGCTTTTCCTCCCTCCGTCCAGGAGGAAAATAGAGCAAAAAGGTAGAACTTACTTCCACACCTGTTTCTCCTGAAAGCACTGTGCCTGTTTTGTTTGCTACACCTCTTAGGTATGTATGTTTGCATCGACATAAGCCCAGAGCTCAGGTACGCACAGTGCTCAGGTACACGCAGTGCACACACTTGCTAGCCACATACACTCTCAGTGCACACACAGTGCTCGTGCACACATGGTAGTACATGATGAATCCACATAGCATCCATGCACACACACAGTACCCACACACACGCGGTACATACACATGGCACCCCTGCACATACACAGTAGACATGCATAACCCAGAAAGTGGTTCTTGCTCTCTCTGTAACCTTAAGACTTTGGCAGTTTTTGTTAACTCCCACACTTGGCAGGATTACATTTCCTTGCGGCCTCAATGACGTGATAGGGCAGATTTATTGGGCTTACAGAAAAAAAGAGAGAGGAGAGAGAGAGTGAGCAAGCGAATAGTAAACTCTGCTGTGCAGTCAACCTGGGCCTTGGTTTTAAGGTGCAGATCATCAGGGCCAGGAGAGAAGATTTGGCAACATGGGGTCATTTGGTGAGAGTCAGCAGGTTTCACTGGTAATCTGCTAGAGCACTAAAACACATACTTCCAAAGGTTGCCTTCTTTCAGTTCACTGAAAAATAAAAGGAGCCCCAAGGCTGAACCAAATAACATACATAAATAACACATGCATGCCTGCATGTGTTATTTATGTATGGGCACATGTTTATAGCATGCATGCATGTGTGCTATGTGTATATACCATGCACTTGCACACATATGCTGTGTGTGCAGCACACCGGATGCCACAGATATGGTGGTGGCAGGGTCAGTGACAGAGAGTTGGGGGGATGCAGGTGTGAGGCAGGCCTGCTTGGGAACAGGTAAATCACTTAAGGACACAGTGCTTTTCATCTGCTTTGCTGCTCTTTTCCTCTTAAGCAGCATGCGCTGAGATTGCAGAAACCTGAAAGAGAGGCAAAGTGTGTATCCCACCTCCCCTTCCTGCCTGACTCTTAAGTAAGTTTTCTTTAAGTATCTTTTTCTTCAGCCTCAGGAAAAAGAGGACCTTAGAACTGAAGGAGCAAGGATCCAACATCACACTGTTTTTATTAGCTGCCTATGTGTGTGTGTTTACTATGTATCCAAAAGACAGAGGAGATGAACAAGCAAAAGAAAAGAAACAAGGAATCAGATTGGAAAGACAGTATGAGTTTGTACTTATGAAATAAAACTTCTGTCCCTCTACACAGGACCCGGAGTCTGTCCCAATTTCCTGTCTCTAACCTCACTGTAAGTGCTGACCCACTTCTGGCTATTTTTATTTGTTTCTTTGAAAATGCTCACTGTGATTGGAGTTGACTTGCCGACTCTGTTCTGTATCCTTCCCACCACCTGAGTCCCAGAGGGCAGCGCTTCCCACCTCATGCCAGTAATTATGGGTGAGCATAGAGCCAAAGGATGGCAGGGTTTTGTTGGTGGTGTGACAAACGGTGACCCCTTTCCTCGCAATCAGAGACACAGGGACAAGCAGCTTGCACCTGCACGTGGAGCTTTGCACATGGCCTTTTGCCTGATTTTCCTCTCTGAGGCAGGCCCCCTCCACGAAAGATGGGCACCTTCCCATGTTCCGGAATTCTTGGGGGTGCGCTGACTCCAGGCTCTTACCCCAGCTTTGGGCCCGGGGCAGTGAGCATGTGTAGTTACTTATCTAGGATTGCAACCTGAGTCAACAGTGAAACCAGGAAGTGAACTCAGGGTCCGGCATTGTATGGAAAGTTGGGTGTATTTACTTTTCTCTTAAAGCAAACTTTGATTGACTTTTTAATAAGTTACCATGGAGGATATAGTTCTGGTGAGATTTGACTTGGCATCCAAATCTAAGTCACATATTGATAATGGAGGAGAGGAACAGGGAGTCTTTTACGTTTTTCCAGTTTTATCATTAACCCCAAGTTCAGAAATCTGTTTGCTTTTAAAAGTGTCAGTTTCCTCGTTTAGGAAGGTGACAGTTCTCTACTGATGATGAGGTTTTTTTTTTTTTTTTTTTTTTTTTTTTTTTTTTTTTTTTTTTTTTTTTTTTTGAGACGAGTCTCTCTGTCGCCAAGTGGTGCAGTCGATCCTGCTCACTGCAGCTCCGCTCCTGGTTCCCCATTCTCCTGCCCCCTCCGATAGCTGGACTATGGGTCTTTTTTTTTAGTAAGAGGTTCCCTCGTTCCTGTGACCCAGGCTGGAGTGTATTGGCCACGGCCGATATGAGTTTTTGGGTCTCCGTCACCAGCTGGGCAGATCCTCCTGCCCTCTGCTCGTGGGTTCAAGCGATTCTCCTGCCTCACCCTCCCAAGTAGCTGGGATTACAGGCATCCACCACCATACCTGGCTAATTTTTTGTATTTTTAGTAGAGATGGGGTTTTGCCATGTTGGCCAGGCTGGCCTTGAACTCCTGACCTCAGGTGATCCTTGGCCTCCCAAAGTATTGGGATTACAGATGTAAGCCACCGCGTCTGGCCTGATGAGGTACTTCGGTGGCCTTTGTGGAAAGGCCTTATCACCCAGCTAGCACCCAGCACTGTGGGAACCTCTGGCGGGGCTGTGTGAGGAATTAGAGTGACCTTGACTTCAGACAGGCCCGATGTGGGTCTCGACTCTGTCACTTACGGTGTCACCTGAGGAATCCCTTCTCTTCTTTGGCCTCAATGTCCTCCTCTGGGAAATGAGAGTAAAAAGTCTGCCTTGTAAGGTTGTTAGAGGGCTCGGCGTGGAGATGGATGAGAAGGGCGGGCAGGGGGTGTGGAACGTAGCATGTGTTTGGTGGGGCAAGTATCAGAGTTACTTATGACTCAAATCATTTTAATTGTGGGCCATAAAATTTCTGTTTTCTCTTTCCAGAGATTTCTCCAGGACGTTACCTGGAGGAGGTACACAGTGTGAGGACACGCTCTGTGCTTTTCCTACTTGGGTCCGCGTGAGTGTCTGGAGCTGCCCTTCGGGGAAGGGAATAGAAGAATGATTCTGCCTCCCTGCTGAGAGGGACGTGGGTCCTGCGGGTGGTCGGGGTGAAGCTTCCTCTCCTTTCCGCTGACAGCACTTCCTCATTAAATGCAGAGATCTGCAAAAAGGGAAAACAAAAACACAAGAAGAAAAACGAGGCATCAAAGACCCTCCTCTTATGCCCATGGGGATGTGGAGGACGTGCTATTTCTTTACCTTCCCAAAGGGCCCAAGAAGAGCTTGGGAGAGGGAGAACACCCTTTTAGGGGATTCCCAACAGGCCTGTGTCCCGAGGGCTCCTGTAGGAGAGGTAGTAACTAGGGTGCAGACCATCTTCTGTGTTATGGGCATCCAAGGAGAGAAGAGAGTGACCCCTTATGACTTGGGAGGCCCATAAAGATGGGGTCCTGGATGAGCAGTAGCAAGGAGGGTACGGGGATGGGTGTGCCTCGGGGGGCTGGCAGTGAGGACGGCATTGTCCCTAGAGAGTTTAAAGACAATCCAGCTCCAAGTCAGACTGCTTTTAAACCATTTTAATTGCCACACACCAGTAAGTTCAAACAATATCAGTGATAAAATCTCCTTCCGTTGGGCAGCCAGTCCTTCTGCTCCCTCCTGATGTGTCCTGAGTGAGTGGGGTAGGGACGAGCTAGTGTGGCCCAAAGACAAAGGAACCCGAGATATTTCTTTCCTCTTCCAAGCAAGAGAGGCTGGAGACAGCAAATGAGTGCTCAGGGATCCTTGGGGGTCAAAGGAGTCACCTGAGAGAAAGGAAGAGAGGGGAACTGCCACACCTCAGCGAGGGGAGCCCCGCAGGCTCTGCCTCGCTTCCCCACCCGTCTAGGAGGAGGGTCTGGAGTGGAGTCCATGAGGGGCTGGGCGGGCCTGGGGCCCTGCTTTGGAGGGAATGTGGTAAGCAGACCATACAGGCAAGCAGACAAGTATCCTCTGTGTCTAACGACACCTTTGCCTTCTGTCCTGACACACAGATGGGCACTTTCTCCATCAGAAAGTGCTTCTGCCATTTCTGATGGAAATAGCTCGAAAGACTCCTGCTTCTCCACCGAGCAGGGGCATTTACCCATTACAACCCCTGGCGAAGTGACACGGTTATGCCCATTTCATAGACGAGGAAATGAGGCCCAGAAAGGGGCAGGAATCTTCCCCAGCTGGGGAAGCTTGTTTGCCCCAGACGCTGCCACCTGGACACCTCACTGCCCTCAAAGGCTGACGGGGTCCCCAGCAGCTGTAACCATTTCTTTTGAGTGCTTCTCATTGTGTGGAAGATTCTTTTGGGGGTGCACAGAGCTCCCAGCTTGCTGTGATTCAGCACAACCCTGGCGTGTCACCAATGGGAGGTGGCCTTGATGGGCATAGTGCCAGCCAGCCAGAGACCCTCAATGAACAGGGGCGTTTCCAGAGGGCCTGGTGTTTTCTGCATGGTAAGACTCCTACAGAGAGGCCAACCTGGTTTTCAGAGAACAGTTTGCATTTCCGGTGGCCCTGGGGGCACATGTTCCTGTCGGATTCCTGCACTGTAAGTGAGCTTGTGGGGTCGGGCTGCCAGCAGTGCCTGCCTTGTGCCGGGGCTTTTTTGGTATGGAAAACCTCAGAGAGGCGTCACCGCCATCTCTTGTTTGCTCAGGATTTGCTCATCTCTCCCCACCTGCTTTTTGGGGCTCAAGGCTGGAAGAAGCCTCAGGACACAGGGGAAATGTCCACCTGCTGAGCAGGACCCGGTGTGAAGGAAGAAGCCTTCTTCTGATTCCTCATGGCCCAGCCACCCCTCGCCTGAGCTGAGCCTGGCCACAGGGCCGCCTGCAGGAAGGGCTGGCCCACATGTTCATTGTGCTCAGGCTGTGCTAAGAGCCCAGGGTGAGGACCTCCAAGCCCCGGAAGCCTCAGTTGGCCAAAGTGCTAGATGCACGTGGTCTGCCTTCATCCCTGCTTCCCTCAGAGCTTGCATTTTTCCGAATTCAAGAGAGGCTCCACCTTTGAGAAGACCCGCCTGTCCCGGTTATTTATGTGTACCATATCTCCCTTTGTTCCGCAGAGCGGTGCGCCTAAAAGGCTTTTGGGGAAGGGGAGAAGTGCCGCTCAGTGACTTGCACAGGAAATTGGAAATTGGATCCCAGGTCTACCCCCACTCCTCTGACTCATGCTTAAACAAACCCAACACATGCCCTGACCTTTGCTCTCTCCCTCTATTGCAGGCCGTACCAGCCAGCAGCCCGCTCTCCTGGCCATGCTGCGGCTCAACAGAAGTCCAGCATTTGGCTAGCTTCCTGGGGGAATGAATCTTTCCGAGCCAAACTAATGCTATACATGCAGCCTATGATTTTTTTTTTTTTTGGTCTTCCACAAAGTGAATACTTACTTTTTTTTTGCTCTTTAAATTGTCATCCATTATATTCATCAACACAGAGAGATGGAACATTTGGCAAAATTATTTTAAGTAGCACTCCAACCTGTGATCGTAATTTCAAATCAAGGAATTTGCTGAGCAGCTGTGGGGAAGAACAAAGGGCCTGAGAGTGATTTAGGGCCTGGGGGAAGGGAGGTGGTGGAGTTGAAGGCCCCAGCCGGTAGCAGAAACAGCTGGGGAGGTAGGTTGTGCACACCCCGTGGGGGAGCCGGTCTTCTCAGCCCTGCCATCCCATCCACACGTGCCTCATCAGAGAGTTTTCATCTGCTGAACATACCACATGTAGCACTTCAAAACAGATAAACTAAGCAGAGGATTCAGATTCAGTTAAATACCCTTGCTGAGAACTTCGGCTCAGGAGTTGGACAGGCCTGGCCTTGAATCCTGGCTCTGCCACTCACTGGCCTCAGTTGCATCATCTGTAAAATGGGGCTAATATAGCAATCACTTAGTAGGGATTACTATGAGGTTGAGTGTTTATTTGACCCAGTCACTGGCATAGAACAAGTGTTCAAAATACTATTATTATCACAAATATGCAGAAATGTTCAATGTATACACTCGGTTTTTGCAACCAATTAATTCAATGAGCATCTATTGAGCACCTGTTATATGTTAGGTGCAGGGCTGGGTGCTGTTTGGGTACAAACACGTAAAGCATAGGAATTAATATGCTATTAGATAAACTAAAAAGACTTCTATTGACTTAAAAAGTAATAATGACTTCCAATCATATTTAAGTAATTAACAAAAGAGCCTTTCTTTTTTTTTTTTTTTTTTTTTTTTCTATTTTTGAGATGGAATCTTGCTCTGTCTCTCAGGCTGGAGTGTAATGGTGCTATCTCAGCTTACTGCAACCTCTGCCTTCTGGGTTCAAGCAATTCTTGTGCCTCAGCCTCTGGAGTAGTTGGGATTATAGGTGTGCCACCACGCCCAGCAAATTTTTGTGTTTTTAGTAGAAACAGGGTTTCACCATGTTGCCCAGGCTGATCTTGAACTCCTGACCTCAGGTGATCCACCAGCCTCGGCCTCCCAAAGTGCTGGGATTACAGGCATGAGCCACTGTGCCCAATCGAAAGAGCCTTTCTTGACAGATGGTCTATTAGAAACAATTTGAAAAGAAAATGTAGAGTTGTAAAAAATAAGAAGGAAGCTGCATTCTTTTTAATTGTTTCTGAACTTGTTGCTTTTCAACACAACTATTACCTAAATTAACTTAATTTCTTAAAATAAGCCCTGCTTCATACCCAGGAAGCTTCAATCAGCTAATTTGCAGATAATCAGACCTGTTTACAAATAGTCTGGTTTGTCTGAGTGACTTTCGGTGACACATGCATACTTAGAAAGGGTATCATTTGCCGGGGATTAGCCAGTTCTGCTGAATTACAGTCTTCGGAATTAGAAGTCATCTAGTTCAACCTTTCATCCTTTTAATAGAATTTCTGGTAGATAACAGCTGAGCTTCTGCTCAGACTGCTAGAAATGGAGAACTTACCACTTCAAAACGTAGATACTGCCCGGGTTGAACAGCTCTAAATGTTCAAGATGGAATAATTAATAGTAAACTAATTGAAAAGAATTTGCATAGCACATCTCAAGGACAAAAATCCCTTCTGTTGTTTTTTCCTTTGGTCTTGGTCTCCATCTCTGTCATTTGGTGGTGTTTGGACTGCCTGTCTGTCTTCCCCTTTTACTCCGAGCGGCCGCCTGCCCTCTGCCCCCCTGCCCCCGGGGAACAACAATGGCTCTGATCACAATTGGGTGGCCAAGCGTATCATGCCGTAGAAGTTTGGAGCCAACACTCAGTTCAAGTTGCTCCTCTCCTTGTTCTCTAGGGTGGCTCCACTAGGTTCTGCTTTCTTGGAAAACAACAGTGAACTTTGTGTAGCCAAAACCCTATTTCCCAAGCTGCTATTTGCTCACTGGCCTCCCCTCCTCCAGCTGCTCCCAGCTGCTGACCACTTCTTGAGCACACTGCTAGCTGCTTCTGCTGTTCCAGCACTTCCTGGAAGGCAGCTGCAAGCGGCCGAAGCAGATGGAGCCCAAGCCCTGTTGCTTGTGGCCTTGGCTTACTGAGCCTGAATCCACAACCGGATCATTAGAAAAGGAACGGTGTGTGTGCCCACCTTTGAAGCCAGTAGGCCAAAAGAAGGGTGAGCAGGACAGCGCCATAACACCTAGAGTGACTGTGTTTGGTTCACACTTCTGGTTTCCTGCAGAATTGTTAGAATTTTTTAAAAAAGGAAGCAGCAAGTTGAGAGCAACTAAAGTAAAAAGAGAAAAGTGATACAAAGGGAAAGGTTTATTTTTGGAGCTCTTAGATTCCGAAACTCCTTCTGACTCTTTTATCCTTTTACCTCTCCCATTCTCCTCACTGGGCTCTTTGTCCTCACGGGGACTGTGCGTCTCTGATCTCACTCTAGCTCTGGGTCCCTTAGGCTCCTCTGGCTTTCTGGCTGCTGGAGTGAGCCCTTTCAATGAGGCCCTCCCTCAATTTCCCATCCCTCTTGTTCTTCTGCCATCCAGACTCATCACAGCTCAAATCGGAGACCGGCTGGCTGCACGGCTGGCTACTCAGAGCGGCTGGAGACAGCCATGCCCCAGGGCGACTTGTTCCACGGTGATCTGACTGGTTCACCCAGGGGTCTTGGACCTCACAGACCTCATCGGGAACATCCAGTGAGGTTTCTTTGGCAGGAATGATATTTAAAACAATTTGATTTAGTTATGAGCATTTAAGAAACAGGAGATCACCAGAAAATCCAGAGTTTTAGCTCCACAAGCAGAGCTGGAGAGCTGGCGGTACCCGGTCTTGACCCATGCTGGGATGACCACTGGCTGAAGCTGAGAGGCAGCGGCTTCTCTGACATGGGGCACACACTCCATTTTACTACCATCTCTGCAACAACAGGGAGTGTCTTCCTGGACCCCCAAACTGAGAATTAGATGCCTTTGACAAATGGGCTTGCTTCCTCCCACTCCCCAGACGACCTGATTCATGAGATGCCTGCCTGTTCCCCGTGGGTATCTGAGTTTGCAGCCCATGCTCAGTAGAGTTTATTCAGCAATCCTTTTCCTGACCTATAGCAGATTCCTAGCCCATCACATTTCTAATGCAGTTGTTGCAAGTCTTGTCCAGACCTTTCAGACCCTTGATCTTTCCGGGAGATTGTGCCTCATACATTATTGAAAAGATTGAGGCCACACAACAGGTACTCTTAACGCCTCAGCTTTCTGCCTTTCTGCTTCTAAGGTCTCTCTCTCCATTCCTTCCTCTTTCCCTCCTTTCTAACTCTCTTTTTCATCACTTTAAAAAATTGTAAAGTAGAGTGTACCTACAGAAAAAGGAGGCCGAGGCAGGAGAATTGCTTGAACCTGGGAGGCAGAGGTTGCAGTGAGGCGAGGTCATGCCATTGCACTCCAGCCTGGGCAACAAGAATGAAACTCTGTCTCGACAAAAAAACCAAAACAAAAAAGAACCAAAAAAACAAAAACAAAGATACACAGTTCAGTGATTTATCACAAAGTCAAAGCCAGTGTCATTATCAGCCTGATCGAGAACTAGAACTCTGCCCTCCTTCACCCTGGACGTACTCCTCATTCCCCCATCCACCTCTACCCTCCCTCCCTATCAGAGGTGACCATTATCCTGACTTTTTATGTAAAGCGTCTTTGATTATCTTTACCGCCAAAAATATATATATAAACAGATGTTCATAGCAGCTTTATCCATAACTGCAAAAACCTGGAAGCAACCAAGATGTCCTTTAATAGGTGAATAGATAATAAACTGTGATACATTCAGGCAATGCACCATTATTCAGTCCTCAAAAGAAATGAACTATCAAGCCATGACATGATATGGAAGAATCTTAAATGCATATTACTAAGTGAAAGAAGACAGTCTGAAAAGACTATACGCCTTATGATTCCAACTATACGTCATTCCGGAAAAGGCAAAACTGTAGAGGCAGTAAAAGGATCAGTAATTGGCCAGGCACAGTGGCTCACACCTGTAATCCCAGCACTTTGGGAGGCCCAGGTGGGCGGATCATGAGGTCAGGAGGTCCAGGCCATCCTGGCTAACATGGTGAAACCCCATCTCTACTAAAAATTAAAAAAATTAGCCAGGCATGGTGGCATGTGCCTGTAATCCCGTCTACTCGGGAGGCTGAAGCAGGAGAATCGCTTGAACCCGAGAGGCAGAGGTTTCAGTGAGTCAAGACGGCGCCACTGCACTCCAGCCTGGGTGACAGAGCAAGACTCCGTCTCACACACACACAAAAAGGATCAGTAATTGCCAGGGATTAGGGGCAGGGAGGGATCAAACAGTGCAGCACAGAGGGTTTTTAGGGCAGTGAACTGCTCTGTATGATACTGTCATGATGGGCACCTGTCATTATACAATTGTCAAAACTTGTAGAATGTACAAGACCAAGAGAGAACCCTAATGTGAACTATGGATCCTGGGCGATACCGATGAGTCAGTGTAGGCTCATGGATTGTAACAATCACACCGCTCGGGTAGGGGATGTTGATAGCGGGGAAGGCTGTGCTATGTGGCGGGCAGAGGGTATTTGAGATATCGCTGTACCTTCCATTCAGTTTTGCTGTGAACCTAAAACTGCTCTAAAAAAGTAAAATCTTAAAAAGAGGGAAAAAGGTCTCTTTAAATGCTATAATTTAGTTTTTGGCTAAACTGAACTTTAGCATTTCAATGCTAAAGCCTGTTTTTTTTTATTGTTTTTGTTTTTTTTTAACTTTATATAAATGTAACTAAACGGTATGTATTCTTTCATGTGCCGCACTTTTTACTCAACATTATACTTGTGAAAATCATCCAGGTTGTCATGTGTAGGTGTAGTTTGCAGTTTTTATCAGTGGATAGTATTACATTTTAAAAAATGGCATAATTTGTTGGTCTGTTCTGCTCTTGGTGGAAATTTAGGTTGTTTCCAGTCTAGGGCTATTATAAATGATGCTGCTGTGATCATCCTTGCTGTTGTGTGCTGGTGGAGGCATATGTGTGTTTCCGAGGAGTCTGGAGTCTTCTTTGTGGAAGGGTTTAAATTATCAATTCAGTTTATTGAATTATGGGTAGTTTTTATTTTTTTTTTTTTTTTTTTTTTTTTTTTTTTTTTTTTTTTTGAGATGAGTTGGTTGTGGGCTGGAGTCATCCGATCTCCTCACTGCAGCTCCCCTCCCTTTATCCTCCCCCCCCCCGCCTACAGCCCCCCCCCCCCTATTTTTTATTTTGTGAGACGGGTTAATGTTCACCAGGATTTCATCTGTGACCCGTATCCCCTCTCCCTCCAAGTGTGGATCCTACCACCGCCCCAGATAAATTTTCTTTTTAAGGGATTCACCAATTTATCTAAATTTGCAAAATCTTTTGGCATAAAACTGTTCATAATACCTTCTTATGATCTTCAATAAACGTGGTTCTGTTGTGCTGTCTCTTTATCATGCCTGCCATTGATTATTTTAATCTTCTCTTTCTTTCTTTTGCCCCCTTGATAAATCTTGCTAATTTTTGTTTGTTTGTTTGTTTGTTTTTTGTTTGTAGACACAGGGTCTCACTCTGTTGCCCAGGCTGGTCTTGAACTCGTGGCCTCAAGCAGTCCTCCTGCCTTGGCCTCCCAAAGTGCTGGGATTACAGGCATGAGCCACCATGCCTGGTTTTGCTAGGGTTTTAAATCAATTTTATTACTCTTTCCAAAAAATCCAGATTTTGGTTTTGTTGATACAGATG